CGACACACACACACACACACACACACACACACACACACACACACACACACACACACACAAATACACACACACATGCACACACACTGGGTGTAACCAATTGATCAATGAAGTAAAAATGATAGATGAAAATAAATCCCTGCGAGGAATGACAAATAAAGAAATGAACTTAGTAAGTTCTTAATTATACTGCTTTTATGGCACATATTAAATAAACAAATAAGAGTTGACAGGGATATTAGAGGAACGGAATTGAGAAGGAATCAGGTTAGAGTAAACGAATCAGATCATTCAATAAATTTTCGTAATTAACAACCAAATTCAGTTAATGAATGATAAATCCACAGTTTTATCTATTGCATTGATTCTGGGAGAAATGAATTCTGGAAAAAATAAATTCTTTCTCTTCATCTGAATTTGTTATCAATTAGTGTCTATCTCATTCCCCTTTCATGAATTCTTTCAGAGTTCAAAGTATTTTTAAAGCTATTATTTTTGTTTGTTGGATAGTAAAGAAAAAAAAACTAATGACTAAGGTAAGGTGATAGCGACAGTTAATGTTTGAGTAAAATAGCTTTTCTGGGATAAAAGGACTAAGATAAAAATAAAAGATAAAAAGGCTAAACTCTAGAAAGAGTAATGAAATTTTCATCAGAGGAAGTTCTTTTACGATAGTAAATTTTAGATAATAAATCTATCAATCGATTTTATGCATATATACAGCATTTTGAATTTAATTCCAAAAAATCAGAATTTGAATTTTGTTAATTACACATAGGCAATCAATAATATATGTAACAATCATTCAACTGCCAGGCCTTTGTAAATCATTATTGAGTGGATTGAACATTTGTGGATACGAATACGGGGTTGCAGTAGCATTACTTTGAGCATAAGGATTGTAAATATCACCCTGATATGGATAGTAAGAAGGTGCGCCGGTACTGCTTAAACTAAATCCGCATGCAGCATGTGTATGACTCGCACCAGGCATGTATGCAGTTGCAGATTGAGCACCTAATGAATACGCCGATGACCAACCTGAAGAAAAAGGAAGGTTTACTACCTTATTTTATAAGAACTTCGTAGGAATTACAATTTCTTTTATTTATTTTATTAGATTTGTTCACCATTTCCATTCGTCTTTAAGTAATATAGAAGACTTCTAGTTCTTAAATGACCAATCCTTAGATGACCAGCCCGTGGGGAAATATTTGTAATTGATATTTAATTGAATCTACAACGTATCAAATACCTGAAAAATCAGGGAATATCCATTCTTTTCTCATCACAATCTAGCTACCAAGCTTATTGGCAGAGAGTGTTCTACTTAGACAGTTATCAAATAAAAATTAAACTCATTTATTACATTAAAATTACTAGATTTTTTCCAACCGAATTGCCCCTATGTACTGCGGAATTCTTAAGTTTTTCACTAATCAACCGGTCACTAGTCCTGGAAGGCCAAAACTGGAAGATAACAGTGGGTCAAAACAAACAACAACACCTCTTTCTAACTATATGAAATATTGAATTCGGACACAAAATGAACATACCGGCTAAATTTGCTGCATGTGTCGGGTATACTGCTCTCAACGGATACTCTTCCTTGACGGTATTTTCTGAACTGCAAAGTCAACTTTTAAACAATTTTCGATTTTTGAAACTTCTGAATTACTCCAACATTGTTATTAAATCAAGCGAATTAGTAAATGAAACAATGGACAGACTTCAGAAAACTTGCTGACAAACATGTATAGCTTTTACAAACTTACAATGAACGTTAGACTTACCTATTTCCAGTTTTCCGATTAAATTCCGCAGTACCAGGGATTACCAATGGTGAAATACTTTTCTGTGCACTTGATTCACCTTTGTTCGGTTCTGGTGGAGGCGTTTCTGTATGGCTGCTACATCGATCATGATTGTGCCGTACTTGCATCATCCGTTTTTGTTGTCGATCTTTTGCTCGGCGATTTTTGAACCACACCTTTTTGTATGGAAACATTATAAAATTATAATTTAAAATAAAATTATATTTGTTTTTGGGACAAGAAATATCTTTAGTAAATTTGAATAAAAATTTAGTTCGTGCTATTGGGGAAAATCAAGCAAACAACCTGAATTCGAGATTCCTGAAGTCCAATTTTTTCTGCGATTTGTTCACGATGATAAACATCCGGATAATGGGTTTGCTTAAACACTGATTCGAGATAAGAGAGCTGCATAGGATTAAATGTTGTACGTTCTCGTCGTCCTGTCGCTTTACGATTTTGATCACTAAATTTAAATTTTATAATTTAAGAAGCATAACACTCAATTCTTCTAGCTCTTGCCTTCCATTATTGCAACTATATTATGAGAGAGGGAAAATCACTTAGTTGTAGTAGTAGCTGATGGATTCAGATATCCCGGGAAAACAGGTGTCGAAGAATATGCGAACGATGGCTGCGGTCCAAAAATATTGTATGGATACGGACCATTACTCACCATCGAATTACATCAATGTTACTGTATTACAAATGTAATGCTTGCACTAAAATCTTCCTGAAACGGATACATTTATTGCTTACCACATCCTTCAAGAAAATTAATATAAAAATAGCAAAAAACTTTTGTACTAACATTATATTATCTTAAACTGAAATAACTTTGACCATCTAAAACTAACGTAAATCTGACCCTCTAAACCTGACGTAAATCTAACCATCTAAAACTAACGTAAATCTGACCCTCTAAACCTGACGTAAGTCTAACCATCTAAAACTGTATGAACATTGCGCCATCTTAAACTGACACAAGTTTGAGGATAATAAAAATGTCGAATGTACCATAATCAAATTAATACCGAATTGAATCCATTTTGAAAAACCAACGGGAAAACTTAAGAAATTTCAAAGAGCAACATATACATGAAGAAAGTCATTGAACAGAAAATAATTCTAACAATGTCAACTGTCCAACCCTCAACAATTCTATTGCCATCAGGAATGGGTCCTATTCTCTCAATTTCTGATTTGGACATCAAATCTGCGAATGAAAAAGAGATCTTAACAAATAAAGAAAATAACAAAATTATGAGTGAAATGGAATTTTGGAATGGAAAAATGAAAAATTTGAGTGAAACCATTTGTTTCTCAATTAAGCATAATGCCTGTTAAAATTCCAAATTGCATTGAAATACCTTAAAGTTGTTAATAGAGAAGAGAAAGAGGGAAATTTTTCGTATTTCATTTAAAAATAAAAATAAAAAATAAAAAGATATCTGAATTTTATGGGATAACTTCTGATCTCTGATTTTTTTTAGCTGAACTATTCCTCAACTAAAATATTTTTTCCACCCACAGGGTCCCACAATCAAAGTAGACACGCCCAAGACGAAGTAGATGAATGGGGTACGTTTGTCAACCACGCCCAGAAGCATATTCTATGGCACCGTATGACAAGAAATACTACCAGCATCCAATGACGGGATTTACGAATGATCTAATATTCAGATAAAGCAATAGTGAAAAGTCATCAAGCTTGTAAAGGTAGTACACGTGAGCTACGTTACGCATAAATAAAATCCAGGGTCATGAAAGGATTGTGATAAGATGAAATTTAGATTACAAGGAGTATTAAAGTAGAAGTGCATTGAAGATTTGAATATCTCATATGTCAATCATTTTAGAATGTATACAATTTTGTAATTAATTTTATTCCCTAAAAGAGCAAGAAAGATCACCGCTCCTTGAGGACATGAAAAAGAAAGATGAAAATAACCAATCAGAATACAACGTAGTATCATCAAAATTTGAAATACGAATTAAATTTCTTCTTTCTAGATAATTTTGTTATTATTCAAAGAAATGATACGATTGAAATTTACTTTTCGATTAATTTTTGTAATTCAGATAAAGCCTAACTGAGACATTATGGAAATAGGTAAAATATCAACAATTTAGGAGCCCAAAAAGAAGGTCTCTGCTCTACCTTTTCTAATTAATCAATTCCTCAGTGTCACAATTAATTACTTCGCGAAAATTCTAATTCCAAAATAATTTATGATAACATGCAATTATTTTGGTTTCATCATGTTACCTTAAATCAATAT